TTAAATAGGAGCTTCATTTTAATACCAATATTGATATGGTTTATACATCAAATATTTTTTTTGAAATGCACGAATTTTGTTATTGTGAAAAATATTTGATACATGGACATGTTCATATTTATGTATTGGCTATTGTAGTATTTGGTACCTGAACATGCGAGTATTTATGGATTAACCCTTGTGATATGATACGAAGTATGTGTGGCTACAGGAACAGCCAGTGCGGCTCTGCCGCCGGCAAGTAATATTTAATGGTAGTCAACGGGTCAATTGTTGATCAAAACATTATAAGCAGTTATGCGAAATGGCCAAGTGTTGCAGCCACCAACAACAGATTATATTGAACGGCTAAATGAACTGGCCAGGGTATTAATTAATGATAGCCGGTGATATGGAATGGCCAGATGATAAGGCCATGTGCAACAAACATAAAAGGATATGAATGGCTATATAATGTGGGCTAGCCAGTGCGACTCTGCCGCCGGAGACGGACAATACAAATAAAGTGATAGCAGATGAATGAAATGAATGATACTTTGTATCTGGCCAGGTGAACATTGAATAAAGTCCTGATCGTGAAAGAAAATTATGGACTAACATGATCATGAAAAACAGTTGATAAATTCTCCAAATTTATGGAGTAACGAAAATTAATGAGATGGTACCAGAAGTTACCATATGATACCAAAAGCTACCACATAATGATGATATCATGGTATCGTGATATTTGAAGCTACCACAATATGATAAATTAAAATGATAAAGTGGTACCAGAAGCTATCGTTAGAAAATTGAACAATTTGAGAAAGTGGTATGAAAAGTTACCAATTATGGGTGATCACACGAAATGATTTCTCAATATATTATATGGGTCTAAGGGAAGATATTGGATGACAATATCAAATTGATAATATGAGATCACATACATATTACAATAAAGTGCTCCAGAAGAAACACATATGGTAAATGATTGTAGTCATAAAAGTACTACACGCTCATATTGTAGAAAAGTGAAATTGATATTATTATTAACAAGAAACAAGTATAGAAAATTCATATGATGGAAATATGGAGAAGAGGCAGTACATACTCGATAAATACGAAATACACAAATATTACATAATAGTACCCATAAAAGAAGGGTGCGTCTCGAGAGTATAAAACTCCGTAACTCTGCCACCCATTATTGTTATATGGGTTCATAATGAGAGATCTAAATGATCAAAAGCTCTTTTTCGCTTAACCCCTTGTGTTTCCACAGACTCTTGAAATGTGATGCATTCTTGAAGCTTTTTGATAAGCTCACCAGACGTATCTGCAGATTTGAATACTTCTCTCGTTGGAGGAGATATAAATGTTTGATATACTCCTTGGTCTAAAAATCCAAGCAAACCAGAAAAAAAAGTTATTAAAATTCAATAGACCTATGGGCTTGTTATGAAGTTTCAATTCTGCCCAAGAAGCAAGGATGAACATTGTCATTAGCATTCCATAACCGCCTGGAAGAATGATAAATGCATCGCTCTTGTTCGCCATATCCATCATACAATCATGAATAGAATGAGTTAGTATCATGCATATGGAATTTTTGACGACCCTTGTTGAAGCTCTATGAAAAGGTATGATACTTTTCACTTCTATCTCAAAACATTTTCCAGCCAATAAAAGATTATCAAAGAAAGTGATGCTAGTCCCTCCATACGGTAAATTGATTTTTTGATTTCCCACATCCTTTACTAACTGACTCACAATATCAACATTTTGAGAAAAACTTACCAGTCTAGAACCACCAAGAACACATACGGTTTTGATCGGCTGAAGAAATTTATTACCTTGCGAAGGCTCTGAAACATCCATCTATTTATTGATAAACTTAATTTTTCAACAGTTTGTGAGGCATATGATTATGATGAATGACTCGCTATTTAAATAGAAAGTTTTAGAAAGCGATAAATAATTTTACTATTTTCTTCTGACAATTGCAACTGGCAGATAAGGTGTTGGGTTTTAAATAAATCTTATCTGTCGGCAGCTATAAGATTCTCTGAAAATTACAGTGCAACTACTAAACTTCATTAGTATGATTTTCATACTAAGACTAGTTTTACAAACTTGATCTTTTGAAACAATATTTTCGAGACTATAACGTTCCTCTTCATTTTTTAAACGAATCCATAGAGACAGAAGCTCACGATGCACATACCCACTAGGATATGTCTCAAGAATCTGGTGGATCATTTGATCCATAGACTCCTTACTCAATCCATCCTTTATAAATGCTATTTTATCTTCTCGATTTTTGGACACGAACCCCATTGATTTACATCGTGTGTCACAAGTCCATCGAGCGCATTTGAAGCATCCACCTAATCGTTTTGCTCTTCGTTTCTTTGCAAAAGTACTCTTACCCATACATGGCATATATTTGTATGAATTTGAAAACTCTCCCGACAATCGAACTTTTGTTTCAATCAACCATCGAATATCACCTGGAATATCATTAATCATTACCACCCTCAATCTTTCTATTCGAGACCGATAAATTCTTTTTATGATATTTACTAGAACAAAAGAATAATATTTACGGATATTTGAGAGTGCCAAATCCATATGTAAATTTGGACATTTGTTCGTAAAGATTAAATGGAATGCATGATAATTTATAGAAATGATGCGTATGCTATACGACTCTAAAAACTAAGAGTCTGTCTGACAGAAAGATTGATACGCATGTGATACGGTTCTGAATTTAAATATTGTGGGTCAGAATCTACACTTGAAGTGCATTTATTGCCGCCGAATGATGATGTGATATGTTTGGGTCACAATGAATTATTGTGATAATTACTGATATAAATGATGATGGTTTGAATGATTAACTGATTCTTTGTGATATGAGATAATTTGTTCTCGATTGGTGAAATTATTACTGGCTAAATATTTGTGAATCGATTTTTTATCAAACTGAGTATGGAAGGGGTACGATATATATATGGGCCCACTACCCCTCCATGTGTGCTACTAGATATTATGGATCCACTAGATAGCCACATGTGTGTGATCAGTAACCTGAAGTTACGAGATGATTTGATTATGTATATGACACGTAACCTGAAGTTACGAGATGGTTTGATCAAAGAATGACACAATATGGCTGTGAAAGAATGAAAATAAGTGTCATATGAGAGTGATGAAGCTAGTAATATAATCAACTCATATGATGAACTCATAAAAGAAAAATGTGCACATTACAAGTGATATGAGTTCAAAGTCCTCCTATTATATGTTGAAATCGAGAACGAAATGGAGATTATATGAACTCCCCTCAAGAAACTCAAAACTGAAAATACAAATCAGGTCTGTTAAGATGAGGGGGAGAATCAATTATTGAAATTTTGAAAATGATATATGCATCACACTGAAAGTGTGCAAATCATAAACTGAATGATACTGATGGTGGTTAAATATATGAAATGATATGATGGTGGAAAGATACGCTGGAAGCGTTGGTATTGTGCAAATTTAAATTCCCCAAATAAGTGATGAAAGGAGGCATATATATACTATCGATGAAATTAATAGATAATGAGATTTCTCAATATATTACGGGGAATAATAGAAATGAATATGTGTCGACACAAACAGATGAATAGCGCTATAGAAATGATATTGATGAGAATGAAATCAGCTGAAATGAGAATATTGGGAACTATTGGCAGTAAGACCATTGAAATCGGTTGATGATGAGAATGATAGTTGAACAAAAGCATGATATGGCATATTATCATAAATACCACCAGTATCGAAAAAATCTGAATGAATCTATATGATATTCATGAAAATTATGGAAATATTATTATGGTGAATATATGGAATACGCGTTGTACTCTTTTTCCCTTGCCTGAGGTTTTGTCTAATTGGGTTTTCCTAGCAAGGTTTTTAATGAAGCAACATGGATGGCGTATTCACATGAATAATGTATTCTTTTTCCTTCATTAGGATTTTGTCTCACTGGGTTTTTCCTCATAAGGTTTTAACGAGGCATATTCATGGTATAATGAGGACTACTGGATTATTAATATGATTCCTCATGATGATACTGGAGTAGCTGTACTCTTTTTCCTTCGATCAAGTTTTTTCCCACTGGGTTTTCTTGACAAGGTTTTAACGAGGCAGCACATGGATACTCCACTAATGATGATCAATTTGAGGGGGAGCAATGTTGTGCTTCCACAATGCTCAGGTTTTGTCCCACCGGGTTTTCCTGAGGAAGCAATGTTATGATTTCAAGATGACCAGGTTTTGTCCCACCGGGTTTTCCTGACATGCTGAAGCAACGGTACATGATGGCCACAAGATATACTTGAGGATGTGCAAATTGACTTTGTTCTAATCAGTTAAAATATGTTTAGAAATAGTCATTCAAGGGGGAGTGTTGTGAAATATTTATAAAATAATATATGTGAATGACTATTTTGCCCTCGATGTAATTGTATTATTACAGTTGTGCTATCAGAAGTTTCCTATAAATAGGAGCTTCAGTTATAATGAAAATTGCACTTAAGAGAAACATTTTCTCTATTCTTTCTCTTTTCTTCTAGTTTTATAACACTCCTGATGTTATCTGCTCCATTTAGACCTTTGTACTGCTGTATTCTTATGCCTACTTACCGCTCCTATACGCCCACCTTGTTTATTTCATGTTTTTCATAATCTTATTATGGATTCCCTCTTACTTTGCTTTTTATGGATTCCAAGTAATCTTATTATGGATTCCATTTAGACCTTGCTGCATTCTCATGTTTTAGTGAGAAAGGTACATCAAATAAATAGGAAGAATACTCATCGCCAGCAAACTAATGGGGGAATCACCACCCTCTCGTCGACGGGACTTCTGTGTCACAAGTTGTGTCCAGCTCTGCACATCAACTTCTGATATGGAGTACAAGTTTGACATCTTCAGTTTGAGTTCTATGTCATACTCAAAGATTTGTATTTCTTTAGCTGAAACAAATGGAATCGTTGATGTTAAGTTATATAAGACGAGTATTATAAATTCAGAAAATAAAAGTTGGAGAAAATAATTGCAATCTGAATGAAATGGGCCTTAGCATCACGACTGTGCCAATCTCATATTTTTTTTCCATTTAAATGTTTTGCATGAATTCATTGATAAGTAACACCAGAGTGGTCAAGATCAACTATCGTTCTCGTAAACGAAAGGAAGAATAGGTGAATTCATTACAAATAAGCAAAGCAAAATACATTTGATCTTGTCTCCACAAAAACAATGGTATTACTAGCGGGATAAGTGTTCAACCAAATACCAGCCAAAAGTATGGACCATTTAAAATCGAATCATGCTTTTTTACGAAAGTTTCCGTAGAATAAAGACTTGGGGACTAGAGAACTACAACAGACAGGAAATGAGGTTTGATGCAAAAATTGAAAATACTACAATAAAATAAACTTACCCAAGTCTTCTTATGTTGTTTGAATTTGGACTTTTATCTTCCAGTTCATAGAGAAGCTCTCCGTATGCATTTCCATCCACAAGATTCTTTTCTCTCAAATCCACCAAAATCTTAAAAGCTTCTCCATTCCCTTTCCGTCGGGATATTTCATCCAGCACTGTGCGGTAAGTGATGAAATCCGCTATCCTTTGGTTTTTAACCATCTCCTCCAAAAATTTCACAGCTTCATCAACCTCTCCCTTGAGAGCCAAAGCATTCACGAGCGAGTTATATGATTTACTACTTGGCACAAACCCATTCCCCTTCATTTTATCACAAATCTCCATAGCATTTCTTGTCCGGCCTTGGGCGCACAACCCGTGTATCAAATAATTGAACGAATATGAATTGGGCTGGCAATTATAAACTGCCCGAATCTGATGGAAAATGCTGAGCGCATCATTCACATGAAGTGAAAGCACATATCCTTTGATCATACAATTCAAGCAGAAGATATCGGGCTCAACTCCATCATCAATCATTTGCCTAAACAAAAGTCGTATAGTCTTCATGTACACGTGATTGATATAGGAATTCTTTCCCCGGCTCAAAAACGCCGCAAATAGTATATTATAGGTCCTTATGGTCGGCCTGCAGTCCAATTTCCTCAAACCACACATATGCCTATATATGTTCACAGCCCTAATCAATTTCCTAGCTTGGGTGAAATAATATATCATAGTATTATACAGAGCCTCTGAAGCAATTGAAGGAACAGCTAGAACCTGATTGACAATATCATCCATCTCCTTGTACATTTTGGCCGCTCCGAGTTTCTTGATCGCGACGTGATATGTGAGCACATTGTGCCTAAACCTGTGCTGTTGAGATGCCCAATTAAATAGCTCCAAACACACCAAGGGATCGTCTTGCAACGCTATCACATCGTGAAGCTCCTCGGGTGTGAATCTTGGTGGAAGTTGGGATATAAGTTTCTGAAAAAGCGATTCATCCAGAACAGGTTTTGCGGCAGCTCGCGCTCTTTTATTAATCCTCTTCCTCAGAGATCTCGGGATGGGTCCTCTGTATATTCTTGTTGAATAGAACGAAACCCACGATCGTGTGGGGATGGTGGCATTTACAAATTTGTTAGCGAGCAACTGAAACAGGACTGCTGAGGAATTGAACGAATATGATGAATTCCAGTGACTGTGGGGCGTGGTTAAGGGAGAAACGCTAGTTTGGAGGAGGGCTGAACTGAAAGCGTCAGAAATTAGGGTTTTATTGGAATGAAAACGATGAAGCTGATACCTGGTTAGAACGAACATTTCCACTCATGAGTTGATAAGAGACGGAGAGCTTCGACGGAGGTATCAGGGGAGCTGGGAGGGTGTTTGTTGGAGGCGATTGTGGTAGCAGCTGGCGGCAGAAGATGATACCATGGGCAGTAGGCCGGAGCGACTAGAATTTAAATCGGTCTGTTCCTGCATCTGAATTATATGCATAGATTATGAGCGTATTTTTCTTTTTATTCTTTTTTTAGTTATGTGGGTGGGGTGAGTGCGGTTCACTAAAAACCGAAAACTAAACCTAACAATATAATCGAATCGTACCGCAATTAAAAAAATAAAAAATAAAAATAAAAATCGAACTGAAACTGAAATCTTTTGACACTAAAATAACCGAATCGAACTGCACCGAAATATACGGTTCGATTCAATTTTATCTCATTTTTTTTATACATTTTATGCAACTTAGTGCGGTTCGGTGCAAAACCCCCCACCGAACCGAAAACCGAACTTAAAAAAAATTATAACCGCACTGCACCGCAATATAAGAAAAACCAAATTAAAATTTTTCTCACCCCTAGTTATTTTAAAAAATCCTAACCGAACCGCACCAATTTGCATGGTTCGGCTCATTTTTCTCACGCCTAGTTATTTTGGTTTTATTTTGATTTATTGGATAAAACGGGTTAATTTGAGAAAAGTTGATTGAGTTGATGAGATTGAATTTGTAATTAAATAATATTTAAATATAATGATCATAATAGATGTGCGGTAGAAGCAGGAGAAATAGGATTGGAGGTGATGGTTAATTTAAATTATCTGAGGGAATGACAGTGAATTAAAATTAATTCGATGTGTAAGGATAAATTATTGATATTATTTAATTATATGGATAATATTAAGAAAAGTTGGGTTAGTCTAAACTTGCGTTGGATTTCTGAGTTAAAAAAGTGTAAATGATTGATTGAACGGGTTTGAGTTTTTTTTTTTTTTTTNTTTTTTTATCAAACGGTAGACATTCTCATTAAACAAAGAAACAACAGAGTACAACGAGAAAAACCCGAGATAGCCACAAGGGCCTGAGAGCAACACTGAAACAGTGAGCTAAATTACAACCAACCTGAGATAAGAAGCTAGCAATAAGCTAGGACACTTCTTAACCTAAGCCACCAAACCAGACCAAAGAAAAACAAATAAAACCCAAGACAACCTACTACAGAAACAGAACATCAAAGGCAAACCAACACAGACAAACCAAGAACTAGAAACTAACTAGAACAAGCACCCAACAAAAACTAAAACTAGGCAAAGACTAACAACTAAAACCAGAAAAGGACAAACCAACAATAAGAGAACCAAAACTGAGAAGAGATCATCAAGAAGCCACTTAGCAGAATTCTTGCCATTCTTGAATTGCACCCTTCACTACCATATGCACTGGCATTTTTTCTTTGTTGAACAACCACAGATTCCTCGATCTCCATAACCACCAGAGGATATAAGTTGACAGTTGAATTCTTGCCTCTGATATGTCAGCCTTACTTATGGAGCAGACTTGCCACCACCAAGTCTTGAAAGTTGTCTGATTTGTTGAAATGCCATCCCAAGAAAGAGGGGATATCTTCCAGACTTCAATGGCCCTAGAGCAGTTTAACAACAGGTGATCAGTGGTCTCTTCTGCTTCACCACATAATTTGCATATAGGATCAATGTCCAGCCCTTTTTTCCATAAGTTCACCCCAGCAGGCAGAGTGTTTGTAAAGCATTTCCAGATGAAATGCTTAATTTTCTCTTTGATTTTCAGCTTCCAACACCTCTGTCTGATTTTGTTGTCAGAACTTCTGTTCAAGCTGCCTTCAGTAATATCCAAGCAGCTAAGCTTGTTGTTCATTAGATGGGCATATGAGGCTGCTACTGAGAAGGCACCATTGCTGTCAAGTTTCCATCTCCATCTGTCATCAAGGTCAGGGGAAAGAGAGGTAATCTCCAAGATGGCTTCAGAATCTGATTGGTTGAACATCTGAGCAATGAGCTCTTCATTCCAGTGTCTCCCATTTTCATGAGTGAGATCTCAGACATAGAGAATTTCATGGTTTTTCAGCCTAGTGGGAGCAGACAATCCAAGTTTGGGAACCCATCTATGGTCTTGTATCAATGTTTGTTGTCCACCTCTGACTTCTCTCCATATTCCCAGTTTGAATGTAGGCAAGATATCTAGCCAGTTGTTCCACATCCAAGACTGGAGTTCTTTTTTTGAGCATCAAAGATGGAGAAATTGGGGAAATATCTGCTTTTGAGGAGCTGGCTGACCATGAGTTGGGGTTGAGTAGTTATTCTCCAAAGTTGCTTTAGAATTAGAGCTTCATTGAAGATTTTATAGTCATGAAAACCTAGACCTCCATTCACCTTTGGGATTGAAAGGAGGTCCCATCTTCTCCAATGAGTACCTCTATCTTTCTCTTTGCCTTTGCTCCACCAGAATTGAGCTGTGATTTGTGCCAGTTCTCTACATGTACCCAAGGGAAGCTTGAAGATGACATAGCATAAACAGGTAAGGACTTAATCACAGCCTTGATGAGAATTTCCTTCCTAGTTGTGGAGAGAAATTTATTTTTCCAGTTGACCATTCTGCTCCTGGCTGCTTGAATGACAAAGTCAAAAGCCTTTTTCTTTGATTTACCTATGCCAAGGGGAAGGCCAAGATATCTGGTGGATGAGTGAGCAGTAATACCATCAAGCAACTGACAAATGTTAAGCTGAGTAGCAGAGGGTGTGTTTTTGCTGAAGAAGATTGTAGACTTAAACATGTTGACTTGTTGCCCAGTAAAAAGGTGGTATTTGTTCAAGATGTTCATCGGGAGGGTGGTTTGGCTCTGTTCTTCTTTGCAGAAGACTAGAATCATTTGCAAAGAGAAGGTGTGAGAGTGTGGGGCCTCCTCTAGCAATTCTGAGCCCTTTAAAAGATCCATTTGAGACAACATTGGTAATGAGAGAGGATAAAGCTTCAGAGACAATAAGGAAGAGGTAAGGGGAGAGGGGGTTTCCTTGCCTCAATCCTCTTGAGGGTTTTATGTAGCCCACAGCTGCCCCATTAACCATGAAAGAAAAGGATGAAGAGGTGAGGCATGAGAAAATCCATTTGATGTAGGTGTCTCCAAACCCCATCTTCATCATAATGTGCTTGAGGCAGCTCCATTCAACCTTGTCAAAGGCTTTTACCATGTCAAGTTTAAGAGCCATGAAGCTATGAAGGCCACTCTTGTTCCTATTCATGTAGTGGAAAGCTTCTTGGGCCATGATTATGTTGTCTATGATGTTTCAGTCTGACAGGAAGGCACCTTGGAATTGGCTAATGCAGCTCTGCAGGCATGTCTTAAGTCTTGATGCAAGAATTTTTGAAATTAGCTTGTATACCACTGTACAGTTGCTGATGGGCCTGAACTGAGAGATAGAATTAGGATTAAGGCATTTTGGAATCAGGGTTACCAATGTGTGGTTCCAGTATCTGAGTAATTTCCCTGATGAGAAGAAGGAGCCAACTGCAACACATATGCCCTCCTTGAAAATAGGCCAATAATGTTGACAGAAAAGTGGAGTCATTCCATCTTCTCCAGGGGCCTTGAGAGGATTCATTTGAAATAAGGATGCTTTGATCTCCTCCTCTGTGATGGTTGCTTGGAGTTGTTCATTCATCTCAGATGTGACTGTTCTGGGAATAAGTTGAGTAATCTCTTGGGCACCTTGAGATCCTTCAGTGGAAAAGAGCCTTTGATAATAGCTAGTTATCTCCTCAGCAATTCTTCACTGGAGGTACAAAGTCTTGTTCTTTCTGAAACAAGCCTAGAGATGGCATTTTTCTTCCTTCTCTGCATGGTAAAGGCATGGAAAAAGCTGGAATTTCTGTCTCCTTCTTTAAGCCATTGCACTCTTGACTTTTGTTG